TTGAGAAAATAATCACAGTGAACTGCTCCGATCGGATGTCCGAAAACGACGGCAGGATGGATATGTCACTCGCTACCGATTGGTTCGTGCGAGATAACAAACAAATAACTCTCCCCTCTGAAACAAGGCTTAATGAATAAAGTCAAATGAAATGTCCAATAACTAGGTTTCTGTTTATCATTACGAAGTTATTTGGGTAGGCGTCTCAGAATAATATATGATTCAGCAAAGACTAGCCGAGTGTGGTGTGTTCGGTCTTTTCCTGAAATCGCTATCTCAGGATAAGACGTCATGTTATTTCATCAAAACAGCCGACGAAGGAAAGCAAAGGGAGAGCAGAGCGAGTGGCGAGCGGGGGGCCTCACCTCAGCGACAGGGCTCTCCCCTCCAACGCCGTGCTTTTGTCCTGTTGCTGCTGGCCGTCGTCAGGGGTTTGGAGGCTGCTCGCGTCCGGGTCAGAGTGTCTCTCCCCGGTCAGCTGGCAGTAGATATCCAGGAGCCGGTCCGCCACCACCGTCAGCCTCGCATACCTGCTGATGAGCACCTACACAGAGAAAGAGAGAGAGGGAGAGAAGAAAGCATCTTCTAAATTAACAGGAATTTCAATTCAAGCGTAAACCTTTTAAAAGCAGCAACAAATTGGTCCAAACTTAAAACAGGAATTAAAGTTCCAGTATATAATGTGTTCAGTAAATAAACAGAGAATTGGATACCCGATCCTGCTATTTGAGTCCGTATCGGTCTGATATCCAATACTGCTGCATCCCTAATACTTTACGGATGTAATTTCGGCCCCCGCGACGAATAAAAGAAGCGTGACGCACAGCCGGAATGATCTCAAAACCATGCCGGGACTCTACAAATAAAACTGTTCCTTCTGTTTTCGCAACTTGTGGTTATTTAAGATGACCAACCTCTCTGCCCTTCACCGTTTGCTAAATGCCCGTTGCCTCGACTCCTCGCGTCTCTTCCTCACCTGCTCTGTTTGCATCTCTCGTGGGTCGGGACTGAGACGTGAGGAGAGGAGGCGGGGAAAGCAATCGAGGATGTACAAAACTAGGAAAAAAAAATTGTAAACACCGGGGGGGGGGGGCTAACAGCTGTATCAAAAAGAAGACTGTGTGTGCCAAAGTGTAGAACCACCTGCTTGAAGATACCTTAAACTGCTATATACAAATATTTACAAAATAAACACACAAGCACTTCAGCCCTTTAATCTGCCGTTTTATCAATGTGCGTCTTACTGTTACTGTAGCGTTTCTATTTTAAGCAACAGACAGTAGCACTGTGCCCGAGACAGACTTCCCCCTCTGGGACAAATACGGTTCATCCAACACTCACCTTCTTCAGCTCTTCTCGCGTCATGTTGCCCATTTGCAGCTTGGTCCAGTACTTGTCCAGCAGCGCCGCATGAGAGTTCTGTGGTTTGTGCCATCCGCCACCGCTGAGGTACATCCTGCAACACACAAGCATACTCACGTCACATCACGCCCACTTCAGATAATCAGGTTACCAGCAAAAATCAATCAATCAATGCAAGCTGCTGTTCCATAAGCACGTTTGAAATGTAGTGACATTCTTACCTCCTTGTTGCAAAGAACTGAAATCCAGGAGCAACATCGATGCAATCCTCCCGTCCTGGAATCATCAGCTTTTTATTCTCCATCAAAGGCAGGAGCACCGATATCTTAAAAAAAACGTTTTCAGTCCAGGTGTGGGTTGTTGCAATGATGTATCCACAACATATTAGTCTCGCATTAAGCTGTTTATTACGGATCTACTCAGAGGATGTGTTGGTGCAAACCCATTCTCAACAAGTTAACTCACCACATCCAGAGGTGCGTGGTCAATGTCTTCCAAGAGGATCCACTGGCCTTTGGATACAGCCTGTGTCAATGTTCCTGGTTGCCACACAAACTTCCCTGGTATATCGGTACAACGGTACATCCCGAGCAGCATCTGTGAATCCAACAAAAAAGAATTCACAAAAGCTCAGCCCTCCATCGAACCACCAATGAATGTTAACAGGGTCACTCAAGGTAATTTAGTATTTGAACATCCATAAAGTTGGTAGACAGACAACAGACATATTTGGAAAAAGAATGGTTAAAATCAAAGCAGCAGAGGCTGAGATACCCTGACTGTTAGTCCCTTGTAAGGGCCAAGCTTTCAAGAACACTGGATCCTACAATTCCCATAATGCAACTCCATACTAGGGCTGGATATTGTTTAAAACATGATGATACCAGTATCAATGCCAGTACCCTTAAAGTGACACTGGCACTGTTGCCGTCGCTAGTGCTGTTCGCACTGTTAGCACCGTTAGCTGCTAGCCGCCGGGCTCAGACATCTCCGTGTACAGAGACGGCTGTACGGGTTGTAGCTGCTGCGGTAGTGAACCAATCACACATCGCATTAAATCGAAGCCGCTTGCAGGGATTGACTGCAAGCGAAACCATACAAATTTCTTAATTGTTTTTTTCTAGATCAGGGTACAAAAAGGATTGATTGCAGGTATCGTTTGACTGGCGAGGTTTCAATAACAAGTAGTATTATACTACTTAGTACTGGGCTATCTTGGCCCTTCAAAATTCCACATTTCCAGGTTGTATTGCAGGCTTTCTCTTAAAATTGTTCAGCCTCAGTAAACTGAATATTATGTGTAAAATCAGTCAGACTGATTCCATTCACTCTCACCTTGCTGTCAGTTTGATCTCCAAGCTGGACCTTCAGGATGTCTGTAGCTTTTGTATGTCCTGTGACAGCAGCCATAAACTCAACCAGGGCGGTTTTGCCGCATCCAATAGGACCCTCAAGCAGCACTGGCTTCTGGGAAGCCACAGCCAATGCCAGTCTTCTCAGATTACGGCAGGTCGAGTCCACCAGCACCAGATCTTTTGGGTTCCTCTGCAAAAATAAAATCAACATGAGGACCAAAAAAAGATCGACAGCAGACTATTTTATGGGACAAATCAAAGGGCGCGTACCTGTTCAGTCTGTCTAGGAACTATCCTGGGTAGCACTACACCACAGACTGCCACAACATTCTGGGACAGGTCCTCTGATACCACCTGGCCCCTGGTGAACTTATTAGCCTTCTCCTGGCGCCACATCACAGAGCCCTGATTGGCTAACACCAGGGCTTTTTCTACCTCCAGCTGCTGAGTTTCTTCCAAAGCTCTAATGAAGGATAAAAAACAAAAATGATGACACTTTGTTCTTATATTCAAGTAAGATTTTGAGTTCAGTACTTTTACTTGTAATTGAGTATTCTTCGATTTTCGATGAGTACTTTTACTTAAGTTAAGGAATCAGATCACTTGTTCCACAAGCTGATTGAAACTTTTCCATATTCTGCCCGACATACGACGAGATAAAAACAAGGAAAAACAAAAAGGTACATACTTAATTTTCATGTGGAGGATCTCATCGCTCGACAGCACCTTTCTCAGAAAGATGGTTTTCTGATTATCAGTCATGCGAGAGACCATCGCTAAACAATGGGCAGTGTACCTGTTGGAGACAATGAGAAAATACCAGATGTTTAATTTTTTGGGCAAACAAGTGAAATAATGCAAAAATAGTGTGCCTTATACTTGCATTCTCTCTAATGGCCGTTAGGGGACGACTCCTCTGGTCAGTAAAAGAAGTCTCATTGTATAGAAGTCTAAATGACTCTACTTCTCACTTGATTTATTCCCTCAGCAAACATTGTAAACATGAGTTTATGGTCTCAATCTCTAGCTTCAAGTCTTCTTTAATACAGCATGATGTTCGTTTAGTAAATGATGGTCCCATTTAGAGTGTATAACAGCTTGTAACAATCAATTTGTTACATTGCACGGCCCATGAAGCCTCTCTGGGTCTAAAGAGGAAGCAGCTACATACCCTCGAACCATGACATCGCTGGTGAGCAGCTGGGATACGCAGGGACTCCAGTCCCAGAGCATTCGAAACTTGGCACAGTCACTCTGGAGGAAACGCAGGGTGGCCCCCATGAGGTCCCGCAGCTTCATCCTCCTGGGGCCGTACTGAACGGCTGATGACTCTTCACTGGTGAAGAAGAGCCGCTGAAACACCGGGGGGGCATCATTGAAGTACCTTGCAGCAAACCTTGTGGAGAGGAAGTATAAGAGTTGGTCAGAATGGATGCAGCCTGCAGAAATGCTAGCTAAGCTTCATGCATCCGTGTGTGTGTGTGTGTGTGTGTGTGTGTGTGTGTGTGTGTGTGTGTGTGTGTGTGTGTGTTTGAGTGCCAGAGGACCCAGCTTCCCACTTACGCCTGCGCATCCGGACTGATGCCGAGGAGTTTGCTGAGGGCCACGCACAGGCGCTCGTGGAGGTCATGGTTGATCCTGCCACCAGCTTTGACCCTCTCTGCGTTGCGCTCCAACAGGTCCAACACCAGCGGCCGCAGGTGTCGTGCAATCAGCGAGGTGTAATCCTTCTCCAACAGCAGCTGGGCCACACACTCCAGAATGCACTGCCTGTCCTGCTGGCTCCATATCTGAGGAGAGATCATATGGGATGGGTTCCAATTTAAATACCGATTGGCTAACATTAAAAAAATATATACACAGAAATCAATATTTCTTGGAAAATATTTACATCCTAGGGATTAAAAAGGCAGCAGAATGGACTTCAAGTGTGTCATTAGAGGAGTGACTACTGACATGTGAAGGGAACAGCATGCTGCACGCAGGACACGTTTTGAGTCAGCGCGAAAAGAAAACACTCTATTAACACATTATTTTATTCCGTACAAGCCAGGAATGAAAATGTCTTACCTGCTTTGACAGATATTGGCTCAGTTCGTTGTGACTTTTGGCAACATGTCTGGATATGGTACCCAGTGATGAAAGGCTCAATTCTAAATTTTCCATCGTATCATTGGTCGCCTCTGGAGCTGGCAATCTAGAGCGAAAACAAGCTCGCGCGTCCAATGAACAGGTATCCCAATTTACTGATTATTAAACCAAACTGCGAGGTTCATCACGCGCTTGTCTGTCTGGGCTTGTATCACAACACACATGCATGTTCCCGTCTCTGGCGTTAAGATCCTGTCCACATGTGAGCGAAGCGCAAATCCTTCCGGGTCAGGGTCGGGGTTGGATTCCACCTGCCGCGTCGCGCTGTGATGACGCGCCGGATAGCGACGCGCGCACAGTGCAACTCCGCGGGCGGAACAACTTTCGCTCGAGCGAGCTGCCAAATCTGCTGCTTTTTTTTAATGCTTTCGTCTATGTCAATTGGCTGTAGGGGACCGTGTACCCCTGGAGAAGACCGCGAGACGCCGTACAACTGGTCTCCTTGAGGGTTTCACTCCCTGTTTTAGGAATATTTTCTGTAACCGAAGAGCTGCGAGAACACACCCACGGCAGTGACATACCGCGGGAAATCGCTACTTCCTGTGCAATGAAGTCTTGGCGCGACATTACAGTTGTAAACAACAGGAGGACGCGTAACAATACGCAAAACAAGTAAGTCAACCAATTCATAGCTAGCTAACTGTAATATGATTTTGATTAGTGTCTGGCCGGTACATATGTTTCACATCAGCATCCCAAACTTACCCACCGAGTACTTTCTCCGGTTGCACCCAGAGTTCCTAACCCATTGGTAGCACGGGGATTGAATAAAGCAAGCAGCGGTCTAACTGACTCAAGCCTGTTTATTAATAAGGATAACATAAACAGTAACGTAACAAAACGCCCTCCATTCTGTCTTATGTATCGCCCGATTCAGGTGTAAACTTCAGGAGAAGTTATAGTCGTGTGTCTTTAAAGAGTTAAGAACGGGACCATTGTAACGTTAGCTAAAGTGACGTTAATGTTAGCTTTAGCCTGAGCGCAGCGTATCACATTCAGGCCAGGGGCAGAAAGTTAAAAAAAAAAGTGAAGCGATATTCACACATAAGATGAAACTCAGCAGTATACTTCCTCTTGTTTTCACCCTGCTTTGCTCTGTTGTTGAGAGGCTTTGTCCTTTGCTGTGGTCTTTGTTAGAGCAGCGTTAGAAGTGAACAAAAGAGCTCGAGCGTTAGCTAACAACACAGTGACGAGCCTTAGTTTGCCCACTACAGAGAGAAGCATGTTTAACTCTTGTCGTACATGTTGTGGGTAAATCTGTTAGGAAGTTGCTTTGTGATAGAACAACCGAACTGGCATTTACATTTTTGGCAAATCCACCAAATCAAATACAAACTCAAGGTACTAGTTGATGTAGTATCCAAATAAAATTGCCATAAAGTAGTTCTGCTCATTGTTTTGCAACATTGCCTACATTTACCTAATACAACTAGAGGTAATAATGAGATGACTACCAGGGTATAAACACTATGGGAAATTAATTGTACATCCCAATTAGTATATCTTGTCATATTGCTCAACTTTAATTATCTGTATCCAGTGTATGTTGATTTAGTATTTTACTTTCATTGAGTTGTGTGACAAACAAGAGACTGATTACCATAACTCTAGTTTGTAGCCCAAGCCCTGTGTTCAAAATGTATTGTAGCTTAGTAACTGCTGAGATTACTCAGATGACATCATCCGGGTCACGTTCAAAGCTTCTCCAGGGCCACTGAAGAAATTCCAGGCTGAGTTGAGCAGCTAGTACACTGGCATTTATACGTAAAATTGGTGGAGTGCTCCTTTAAGATTGGTATATTAAGACATTTAATCAATGGTGGATTGGTTAAATGTGTTCTTGTTTAATTGTGGTCTTGTCTCTGCTTTCTGTTCTCTAACTATTGGTTTTCCTTTGGCATTGCTGTCAGGAACTCCTTAAGAATCTGAGCCACAGAGACACTGGGAAGAATGGACGACATCGACACAGACGATACCTCTGGTCGTAAGTAAAAAACATTTACACACACATTTACATTTGTTTTATTTGTGTATTATAAGGAATTTTGTCTTGTAATAAGGCTATTGTAGCATATAATATATAGGCATAGTGCGGATGTCTCTACCAGTGGCCACAGAAGTGGTTTCACTCCAATTCAGTGTCATAAGATTATTGCATATATGAAATTCAAATTGGAAAAACTTCGAAGATGCTTGCCCAAAATATACTGTGTACATTTTTCCCACAGAAAAAAAAAATCATTTAATGTTTTTAATATAGGGAGTATAGATGTAAATGTAGATACATATGTTGTACCCAAAATAAATACTTTTGTGTATTAATTCTAATAAAATGAATGCTCTATATAGTGCCTTTTAAAACAGGGAATGAAAAATGTAGCATTGGGGAATTAATGTTGGAGTGATTATGGAAGGGACACAGCCATCATTTTGGGTTAAGTCTTATAATTGAGGAAAAAGGGTTGATTGTAGCTGTACATAACTGACGACATACATTAATAACACATGTATATTACATTTCACAGTCTTTGTACCTGATGCCAATGAGGATTCTGTGGATATCTATGATGGCATGGATATCCCTTTTAGCAGCAATGCAGGTAAGAGTCCTTTCTGAAAGTTTCGCAGCTGTGGCACAATGTTATCACTACAAATAATATTCTAACGCTGGGCAAATGAGTCCAGCACAGATTCCTTCGTCCAATATTGAGGCTTTATTATTGCGATTTGTCTCATTGTGGCGTGTCACAGAGAAGTCACCCCCGAAGGCGTCTCAGCTGAAAGACTCGATGGATCTTTATGAAGAGATTGTCACAGAGGAACAACAGAGCAGAGAGACGTCGTACTCTGAGGTGATTTGTTGTTCCATGCTTCCCTTCTCTCCGTTGACCTGATTTTATAAATGAAAACGTGTGTTGCTAAAGTCGCAGCATTGTTTGGTTTAGAAGGGATGTGTGAGGACTTGGGTCTGGAGTGAAAAGCGGCGACAATAGATTCCCCTCTGGTCAACAGCCTGCTGTTAATTCGTCTCGTACACAACAAATGTTAAAGGATGCTCTGATGCTCGGAGAGTGCTGCTGTCAGCTGGCCAACTGTCTCACAATCCTTTTGTCGTTGTTTTGTGTGCAGTTGAAGTCCAGATACCAAGCCGCTCAAAACCAAATCAATGAGTTGCGCAGGAGAGTGGAGCAGATACAGATGCAGGTTTGTTTTATTTTCCTTAACCTGGCTGCATAAGGTTAAAATGGCTGCATAATTGCTGAAATGTGATTAAGTTTCAGGCAGAAGTCCGAAAAATGTAAAAGCAGATGATTACATATTTTTTGATGTTCATTTCCTACATTTAAATGTATTTTGTAAAGAATCATAATCCTCGGCTGTATAGAGAGATATCTTGACCAGCCACAAGCCTCCAAAACAGTTTTGTCATTTCAAAACATATCTAATGCTGCAATGGAAGATGAGTAACCAGGGCCTAAAAGAGCATATTTTCCTTAATTTGTAATACATGCCCTGCCATTCACCTTAATACAGCGATACCCATGCAAACACATAACTTTGACTGATTTATTAACAGATTTCTGGAGCTTCACCGCTTCAGTCATCAGCCCCTTTCATACAAAGACTCGGCAATACTGCCACAAAGAAGATCCGCCGTTATGCAGGCTTTGCTTTTTCACACCGAACGAAACGGCATCGGCATAATGCCGCCGCAGTGTGTTATTTCAGATTGCACGCCGGCATTATGGAGGTGTTTAAATAGGTGTTATGTTTAACTCGACAGCATCGTCGTCTCATGTGACATATAACACATTGTTTTGCTCAGAGAGCTCACAGATCTCTTTGTCTCCCCCAACTCACTGCCGTTCTTAGTTGCTGTAGGTTAGCTGCCTACAGGGCAAAGGTCAAATTTTGATAGTTTGTCATAATTGATAGTGTTCAATTTTAACAGTAAAAATGGTTGTCAAAACCCACCTCCTCTAAAGATTCTACAGCACTAACATGTTTCTCTCTCTCTCAACAGAATACAGGGTTGAACACTGAGAACTGCAGTCTCAAAAAGAACATCTCTGCACTTTTACAAACGGCACGACAGGAGGTGACACGAAAAGATGCTGAGATTCAGAGGCTGAACCAACAGTAAGTGTTTGTTTTAAATCAACTGGTCGACTCACGAGTCGGTCTCTTAAAACGTTTCGCTCAATGAGAGACGTACGACAGTCTCCCTGATTTAGTTACTAAAACTATGTGGAAACAATTATTGTGTTAAAAAAAAAACCTGCATAGAGCTAGGTGACGTCAACCAATAACCGCACACTATTCCCATGTTAATGCAATGTATGAAATACTCCATAATAAGATAATGTAATTCCATGTGGGAATTGTAAAAGATTATGTTGGCAGGTAAATGAGGACAAATAGCTTATTATTCTTTATGAGCTATTGCTGCTGATTGTATTTACGTTAAGTGATTAATCCACTTTGTTTTCCTTAGGTCAGACAAACGTCATCCCCGATCTCACATTAATCATCTGCGGGATCAAAAATCGTCCAGTCAGCGTTCCATGATAAGGCCACCTCCTCCTCCGTCACCGTCCTCTCATCCGCCACCCTCCTCTCATCCGCCACCCTCCTCTCATCCGCCACCTTCCTGTCCTCCGCCACCTTCCTCTCATCCGCCACCTTCCTGTCCTCCGCCACCTTCCTCTCATCTGTCACCTTCCTGTCCTCCGCCACCCTCTTGTCCTCCTCCGCCACCACTGCCTCCTCCTCCTCCTCCTCCATCCTGTCCACTTCCACCTCTACGAGCTTCACCTCCCAGGGAGGGTCATCCTCCAAGCAATCCCCCTGAACGCTCCAGGAAAGAAAGTGATCCGCCCAGCAGGAAATCCAGCAGCAGCTCATCAACCCGACACAGTGAATCAGAGAAGCGCAAGTCCAAGCACAGAGAGGAAAAATGTCAAAAACTATCCGAGTCGATGGACAGGAGACACGGAAGTGGTTCAGATCCCAACAAGGACAGTTCTGCCACTGACAAAAACAGGTCTCACAAAGCAGACAAAGACTCGGGACGACATTATGACTCCCGATCATGTAAAAGCAGAAACAGATCGGACCGGTCTAAAAGCCCTCCACCAGAGAGTGCCGTGTCCTCTGACGACAAGAAAGGGAGCAGAAGTCGGGAATGGAGGCGAGATGCAGCCAAAATGTCCCCATCAGACTCCGAACATAGTGCGGCTCACAGCTCTAAAGAGGGCCGCGGCCGAGATCATCGGAAAATCAAGATCAGTGACGGACATGTCAGAAGTTCAGAGTCAAAGGACCGTAAAAAGTCCTCTTCAAATCAACACGCTGAGCGCGGCGGTGAGTTCACCAAAGAAAGGGGAGGGGACAGACCGCCAAAGGAGTATGAAAGGAAGGAGGACAGACGACATGAAGATAAAGTCAGCAGAAAGCATAAGAGAAGCACAAGCAGGGAACGTGAGAAGGCAAGATCAAAAGAATGCGACCAGGGCAAAGTGGACGTCGGTAGTAAGGAAAGACGGGAAAAGACACACGAGGCCATAAAAAGATCATCCGAAGAACCAAATGTCACTGAGAAAAGCTCTGTGGGGGAAAATAGTCCAAACAGGAAGTTGTGTTTCATGGAAACATTGAACCTCACCCTTTCACCGATTAAGAAGCCACTGTTGCCCTTCAATGCCAGCCAGGGCGACCTCGCACCAGCGGACAAGCTAGTTGGAGACGGACCAGATGATGAGAGCTCACAGCCCAACATCGAGGACATGTGTGTGATCGATGAAGTGAACAGCAGTGAATTGGAAGCGGGGTTGGGAGATTCGGCAGAAGAATCCTCGCGCCCTCCGAAGAGTTCCAAAAAGACGCACGAGAGAGATGAGGATGCCAAAGCTGTCCAGGAGAAGGACAAAAACCAGAGTGACGCTCCTGCTGCTGACGAGCAACTTGAAGACGATTCAGCCCAAACTACCTCGGCTCACCCAGATGCTGCAGCGAAACGGATGACATCGCATCTCACACCAACGTCAACAGAGACTAGCTCTCTAAAAGCAGCGGGTATCTCAAGAAACCACGAGGACGAGCTGGCCTCATATAGCCAGGTAGAGGATTGTGGACCTCTGGAGGCTGCAGATGGTGACAGGGACACATCTGGAAGCATTTATGAACAACACAAGGGCAATTCTTCACAAAAAGTAAATGCTGGAAATGTTACGGATCAATCTGTTGCTGTTAAAGACCCCGTCGTGCTTGATCCAAGTGTCGAACTGAAGTGCAGTACTCCTAAAACCGCAGGACAGAAGAGCCTTCCTGTGGATTCAGTGGAAGAAGATTCACCCTTAAGGGAAAATCCTGCAGCTGAAGACGCTCCTGACAAGGCCAACCTCAAGAATAAGCAAGTTTCTCAAACTCTTCTACTTCAGGACTGTCGGCAAGGACCGCGTCTTCCTGCTTCCGTCTCCACTCACAAGAAAGAAGCCGGTCGCGTGCAAGATGGTCCTAAGGATGCAGACGCCGTGTCCAGCACAATAAGCCTCGACTCCCTTCCACAAGAAGGGCTGAGTCTGCCCGAGGCCATTTACGTTTTGACACGGACAAACGAAGACAGCAACGACGGTGGCGGCGTCGCAGCCGAGCCGAGCTCTTCTGCCGGCTGCATCGGCGTGTCCAAAGTGAGCAGTACGACGGGGGAGATGCCGCCGAAGTACGCCGGCCTCGATTTCACGCCGAAAAAGAGCTTCATTCCTAGAAATGGTCGCGAGGATAACATCGCGCCTTCCAGCTCTGTGCCGCTGCTTCACGACGAGGACTCCATGATGAGCACACTGAGCAATCTGAAGAGAATCCCCGATGTCATTAGCCCTCTGAGGAGCCCGATACGGATAACCAAGAGAAGTCAGCTCCATCTTCATGGAAAGCCAAGTCATGTCAAGAGCCTTCAGAAAGGTAACGTATCAAAAAATAAATGCTTGATCCTGATTATGAGATGCTGAATGTCTCTATAAACTTCTTTGCTTCCTCTCTCCTTTGCAGATTTCTCCGGTACTCCTGTTGATTCCAACTCAAAGAAGTTGGACGTAAACAAAGAAAACAAGTATCCGGGTTCTCCTGCAAACCATGACGCCCAAAACCCGCTGGACATGCACACACACATGTCTGACCCGCCTTCAAGTCTCTCAGACGCCGACCTGGAGGAAGGGGAAATTTTAAGTGAAAGCGACGAGGTGGCCGCGGGTTCTCCTGTTCCCGCAACCAAGAGGGCGAAGTTGGCACAGCCAGTCGGAAACAAGCCAAGTCCCAAGACTCTGTTGAAGAGGAAATCTGAAGCAAGGTGTGTTGCAATGAAAGAAACAGCCGGTGTATCAACACGAAGCCCGAAGAGCCGCTTTAAAACGGTTTGTCCCGCAGCAAGCAAAGCCTCTTTTTCCACCACGGAGGAAGTAATGGAGACATTCAAGGCTGTCCGTGCCGAGATCCGAAAAAAGTACATGAAGCTCCACAAAACCTTTCCCAAGAAGAGCTTCTACGGTGTGATGGACAATTTCCAGGAGTCTTTTTTAGAGTTTGTTGATGGCGCTGATTTCGGTCAAATATGCAGTCAGGCAGAGGAGCTGAAATCCAGCATGAAGAAGCTGATCGCGTCTGTGTTCGGCAAAGTGTCTAATAACGGTATCGTGAAGCGCATCTTTGAACAGCAGGCGGTCGACCTGAAGCAAAGGTTGTGGGACTTCGTAGACGTCCAAGTCGACTACTTGTTTAAGGACATTCACACGAGCCTGAAGAGCCTTTGCAAACCAGCAAGGGCTCACGCTGAGGACAACCGGCCCAGCAGAAAGGAGAAGGTGTCTAGAGGGCCTCCTGCGAAGAAGCCGCAGTGTCAACAAATGGAGGCACACTCGGCTCCGACCAGCCTGCATCGAATCAGGCCTTGTGCTGTCGCGCCGTACAAAACCGGCCTTGGAAGCAGAGGAAAAGATATCAGAATCACGCACGCGGAAAGAAACGGAAACGCTGACCCACGTCCCACAAATAACCCAAATATACAAACTGTGGCCATCTTCCACCCATCGAAAAATAATCCTTCAACTCCAGAGAAAAAGAGTAACGTATCGTCTTTGGTCGTCTCTCAAACTGGCTCTGTGCTTGACAAAACCGACTTCGAGCTTCTCACGGAGCAGCAAGCCTCCAGTTTAACGTTCAACCTGGTGAGGGACACTCAAATGGGGGAAATCTTCAAGTGTCTCCTGCAAGGATCCGACCTGCTAGAAGCCGGCAGCGTCGGAGGCGGTGACGGCACCGCCTGGCCCCTCGGTACGCCGAGGAAGGACGGAGAGAGGCTCATCACCATCACAACGCCGACTAGATTTGACTCTCCATCCAAACTGCTGTCCCCGATCAAATTCGACACGCCCTCCAAACTCATTGCGACGTGGTCCAGCATCTCCCCTCGCAAGCTGGCGTCCCCGCGGTCCAGAGGTCCAATCCATCTGAATCCGGCTCTGTTCGACGAAAGCTGCATGTTAGAAGTGCCGTCGGCCGCACACAGGACGTATTCCATACTAGCCGAAGACCTGGCGGTCTCCCTCACCATTCCGTCGCCGCTCAAGTCCGACAGCCACCTCAGCTTCCTGCAGCCGTCGAGCATGCGCCTCATTTCCACCCCGGACAGCGTCCTCAGCGCTCACATAAGTGAGGACGCTCTGCTGGACGGGGAGGACGCGTCGGAGCAGGACATCCACCTGGCCCTCGACACCGACAACTCCAGCTGCTGTTCCAGAAGCAGCAGCAGCTGCAGTAGCAGCAGCAGCAGCGGCGAGGTGCTCGCCACACCCTTCGTGTTCAAGCCCGACCTGCCCATGCAGGCGCTGGTGATGGAGAAGTCCAACGATCACTTCATCGTGAAGATCCGCCAGGCAGCCAACGGCGCCGATACCACGCTCACCGCTGACGACAGCTTAAGTCGAACACTAACGGAAGAAGACCAGCGACACGGAGGAGACCACGAGGAAACCAAAGACGGTCAAGGAAGAGAGGTTTGGTGGGACGAATCAGAGAACAGTCCGTCTGCCACCTCTCAAGATGAGGGCTCAACACTAACAAAAGATTCAACTCAACAAAAAACATCTGGAGATTCACAGAAGCTGAAAAATCCGCTCAAAACTACTTCGGACAACAATTTACACAACAGAGTTCAAATCACGGTCGCTGCTGATGAGAACGCGAGTCACGGAGAAGAAGCGTCAACTCAACAAAGTCCCTCAAAAGCTCTTTTGTGTCGGGAGAGGATCGGCCTCTCCAAAACTGCGTCGGATAACAGTCCGCGTCGACCAGCTGAGAGCTTTGAAACAAATCGAGAGGTCCAGGTGTCGGCGTCGCATGCCTCAGACTCCGAGAGAGACGGAGCGGCGATGAGGGAGAGAGGTGTCACCGTTGCACGGGACACGAGCAGCACACCTGAGAAAGACCGTGGGCATCGCGACAAAGGTAGAAAGCGGACGAAGCGCCAAGAGAACACAAAAGCCAAGCGGTTCAGGGAGGAGGAAGAGGAGAGCGCCGAGGAGGTCGTGTCTGACTGCAAGAGGGACGACGCCGACACCGGATCCAAATCCTCCCCTGCACCGCTGTCCCCCAACAGTCTCTCTGCCAAGAACGTTGTCAGGAAGAAGGGCGAGGTGGTGATGGCGTGGACCAGGTCAGTAGCTGGTTGTTCCTCATTCCGCAGGAATTTGTGAATAAGAGATTCAACAGACGCATCCTTTGCAATGGCTTTGCCATTTTGACCAATCCTCGCAATATTTCAGAAAATAAATTGTCAAATTTGAAGTGTTTGGAAATATTACCAAAGTACATGGATTGAAGTACTGTGTTTTAAGTGCAATTGTATTTCCATTCAAATTTTTACTTTCAGAGGGATATGTTGTACCTTTGATGGACATTTTGCATAACAAGTACATTTACTTTTGTACTTTTTTGTTGTTGCATTTTTTTTACTTATAGTTGAACTCTTTTACTTTGAAGTAATGCTACTTTCACTTAAGTAAAGAGTCTGAAGACTTCTCCCAGACATGTTGATGCCAGTATTGCGTTCGTACCGAAGAGAAAATTCAAAATACGAGAATGTCGGTGAACGCGGCACGAGCCACTTAAGAGTGACTCTGTTCGTACGAGTGGTTCTTTTGTGAGGCCCAGTGTCCCTAAAAAGGATTAACACTCATCACCCGTATTCTGCTCTCCCTCCCCCCTCCAGAGATGAAGACCGAGCCATTCTCATCGAGCTGAAGAGAAAAGGTGCCTCGCGTGACACTTTCTCTGGCTTGTCAGAGAAACTCAATAAGCCATCAGAGCAGGTGAGTTTGTCTCTTTATTTATTTTGTCGTAGTTATGCGACGCATATGATGGCACAGCCTGTGATGAAGGAGCATGCAATAACTGTTTTTTTTCCTTCTTTCACCAGATCGCTCACAGATTCAACCAGCTCATGAAGCTTTTTAAGAAACAGGAGAAGATGGACCCTTGATCCCTTTTGACCTGCGTTATCGCAAACAGTCCTCGTATCGCAGCGTTCCCATGCAGACGCTGTGGCACCAACACGGGCATGTTGGCTGCTGTTCATGTGACGTGGCGCTGGAAGAGGTGAACGCAGCGGGTGGGTCGTCACAGGATCGATCCCCACGTAGGCCACTCCTGTCCAGATCTAGAGCCCTGCATCGTCCCACCAGTACAAACGCGAGCAGACGATTTAGCCCGGCTTCTAGTCACTCTGCCCAAAAAAAGGATTCAACAATACGGACTGTTACTCAGCACAACTGACGAGATAGATCGATGTGAACGGTCATCAGTATTACTGTTTTTGATGCACTTTGGGGGTTTTTAGGAATCTACACTGCTGTCACTACAAAAGTATCAGGTCCGGATATGATGTCACTTTGTCCTCAGTCGGCGCAGCATCTTAAAGACGCCGACCGTGCAGATACGATGCGTCGCAACAACGGTAGTCTCCTCAAGTCCTACACTCGTGTTCTTCTCAGTACAGTAGGGAAAAACTGCCTTCGGACTACGGTACTTCCAGGTTCAAGTATGCTCAAATGTTCCTAAAATCAAGTGACTTTTTTTTTTTTTTTAAGTTCCTAAAAGTAGTGGACGCTCACCGGAAACCACTCGAAGCGTCACCCATTAGTAGAGCTCGAGCTGTGGGACTGATATAGAATGATTGACAGAATTCTGCTTTGGATCTTATTTTACTGGATGTATTTGTATACGGGGGGGTGCTTGAAATATTTGGTGGTTGTTAAAGTGTTTACATGTCCAATTCATGTACAGGACAGTACCTTTATCTGTTAATACAAATTAAACTTTTTATCTGTGGGCCCGAGTGGCTCTTTGTTTGATTCGCCTTATTGCTTGTGAACAGAATGGAATGCAATATTGTGAATATTGTGTGTTGTTCTTGACTGAAAATAAAGTTTTATTTATTCATGCCGCTGTCAGTTTGTTTTGTAATTTTTATTCATTGGAATTGAATTAACACTTTGTGTGAAATCATCGTTTTAAATTGGTGGAGTAAAAAAATCTCCCCACCAGTGGAGGGAGCAGCGTATACTGTAGCGCTGTGACACAAATATTCATGAAGTGGGCCATAAAGTGGAAAATCGAGGCCAGTGCTTCGGGCGGGGGGGGGTTATGTCACTTGCAGACTAGCCAGTGACATGGATTTGAGGATGGCTAGCAGAGATGGCTGCTGGATTTTATTGCGCCAGATTTCAGGCTGATGTCTCCCGTTTCACTGCCATACTAAAATATACCGTCTAAAATGCATGCGAAGCTGTCGGTGGTATTAATTACAGAAATAAAATCCATGCCAATCTCAATAGCAACACATGAATATGGGACCTTTTCATCTGCGGTAAATGAAGTTCAAGTTCTTCCACACAAAACCGGGAAAACCGGTTCTTTGTGTAACTACTTTGCGTGGGTTGAAAACGGAGACAAAACCCTGTTAACCCGAGGGTTGAAAGTACACTGTTGTGCCTCACAAAGCATGAGCGTAGAACACATTGCACACGGCTGTGTATTGATGTCTCAGTTGGTGCTATTTTCAGTGTACTGTCCTGTTAAAAGTGTTCAGGGTGAAACTACCCTCGGGGCATTAACGGGGCCATGTGCCGGATCGATGGGTTCAAACTGGAGTCCTAGATCGTAATGGGATTGAAATAGTGCCAGCTACATTTGCACAGTGGGGTCTCTCCCACTGAGCCCGTGATGTCTCCACAGATGAGTCCGCGGCTCCACGCTGAGACGAGGACCCTAGAAAACATGTAAGTAAAAACACGTTTATTGAATTATTTTGGCCTTTCCATTTGATTAAAAGCCTACAAAACTGTTTCTTTATCCACTGACAGATAATAAGAACAATTATGTGACAGAAGATGGGGGATTGGAACTTATTAGGGAGTATTTTAGAAGAGGTCCACATCCACTCCACCATCGTGGGAAAGATCTGGCTCACCATCCTCTTCATTTTCCGCATGCTCGTGCTCGGCGTGGCGGCCGAGGACGTGTGGGACGACGAGCAGAGCGAGTTCGTCTGCAACACGGAGCAGCCCGGCTGCAAGAACGTCTGCTACGACCAGGCTTTCCCCATCTCCCTCATCCGCTACTGGGTGCTGCAGGTCATCTTCGTGTCCTCCCCGTCCCTGGTCTACATGGGGCACGCGTTGTACCGGCTGAGGACCCTCGAGAAGGAGAGGCACAGGAAGAAAGCCTCCCTGAAAGCCGAGCTGGAGGGGACCGACCCCGTCCAGGAGGACCACAAGAGGATCGAGCGGGAGCTCAGGAAGCTGGACGAGCAGAAGAAAGTGAGGAAAGCCCCCCTCAGGGGCTCCTTGCTGCGCACCTACGTGTTCCATATCTTAACCAGGTCTGTGGTGGAGGTGGGTTTCATCATAGGCCAGTGCGCCCTGTACGGCATTGGACTGTCTCCTCTGTACAAATGCGAGAGGCTGCCCTGCCCCAACAGCGTGGATTGCTTTGTGTCACGGCCGACCGAGAAGAACATCTTCATGGTTTTCATGCTGGTCATTGCCGGAGTCTCTTTGTTCCTCAACCTCCTGGAGATCTTCCACCTGGGGGTGAAGCAGATCAAGCAGAGCTTGTACGGATACGGATACAAATATGGAGACGACGACAGCGTGTACAGGTCAAAGAAAAACTCCATGGCGCAGCAGGTCAGCGTTCTCACCAACTCCTCGCCGCAGAGGTTGATGCAGCTCACGCAGATGACCTGCCCCTTCGCGTCGGATGCTCACAGGGAGCTTTTGGATCTGGCCCTCGCGGCCCCCCAGAACAAGGAGGGCTCCGGCGGCTCCTACCAGCAACCGGCGAGCCAAGCCTACGGCCAGGGTCGGCCGGACAACCGGAAGCCCTCGTGCAGCAGCGACGAGTCGAACGGACCTCACGCCCCGGGCCGGCCGCAGTACGCGGGGCCCCGGCCCACGCTGATGGGCGGCCACATGGAGATCCCGGCCGCCCTGAGGATCCCGCAGAGGAAGCAGAGCAGGGTGAGCGTTTGCAAGGAGCTCAGCGACATGAGCGATTCTCCGGAGAGCGACTACCACCCGACGGCCAGGAAGTGCAGCTTCATGTCCCGGGAGCTGTCGGAGAGCAAGCTGACCTCCACGTCCGACAGCGGAGGCTCTCGGAGCGGAGCGGACGTCGAGGCCCAGCACTCCCAGGGGGAGAGTCCAGCGGAGACCCCGCCGCCTTCGTCAGGCGGGAGGAGGATGTCCATGGTGAGAGACAAAAATGGTCATCCAGTCATGTTATGTCTGGTGGCCCTAAAGCAGGGATACTCAACCTTTTTAACGGGGCCAATTTGCGTATTGATGGTAGGCCAGGGGCCAGTATATGTATAATATTTATCAGAAAAAATGTATAAACATTAAAAGGCCCATAACTCGTCTTTCTTAAAAATTATTATCATAATTTTTTGAATTAGTGACTTATTATTACTAACCCTCCCCTGGCACTTTGTTTCTTAAACTTGTATAAGCTCTATAAGTCTGTTTTGATGCTTCTTTTTATATCCAAAATTCCCTCTGTAAAAACCTTTGACTCTAATATGTCGGCAAAACGAAACAAGAATTTTGAACCTGGCTTTGCTCATATTAGGATCTCTCTTCTTGAAATGTGTGCACATTAGCACGTTTAATAAAACAATGCCTCATTTGCATATTTAACTTATCATTTCAGAAAACTTTTAATGCAAGAAATAATTGTCCTAATGTTAGTAATCAACTGGGGAATTCTATGGTGATATCTATTACTTCGGTATCTATAAGTATGAAAACAATTCCATTGTGAATACATTTATTGTCATTGTGAAATTAGAAAATGTTCAGTTCAGTTCTTACTGCCCTAGAGCAACAACTGTCTGATAGTCTCGTACACTGATGATATTCACCAAGTAGTACAGTCGCTAGTAAAGTAACTTAACACCAGGAAATGCAATGTCTCACTTATGGAAGGTTCAAAAGGCCTAAATAAAAACAAATCAAACAAAGAACATGCAATATGTTGTTCCATTTCATGTGTGTCTGCCATCAGCTCATAAGGAGGACACTAAGCAGTGTCAGTGGAGTGTTTTCATGATATGGACGTCTCCATTTCAAAACGAGATAAATCTCCTAAGAACGGTGCTTTGCATTTAGTGGTGGCAGGTCTCCGTTTCCCTCTGCTGCACGCCACTGATTACTGCATTCAGTAGTTAAAGACGGAGGCCCCTGTAACATGTTTTTCATTTAATTATAACACAGTAAAGTCATACAAAAAAAGCATATATAATTTAGTTTCTTTGATGTATCGTTATTTAGACGTATAAAAACTCCTTTTTCTCTGTATGAATGGTGTGGTCTTGTAACCTGTAGACTCCCCAACAGGTCCAGATATTTAGCCTGCTAGATATCTGGGAAGCATGGAACCCCCGTGTGAGATAAGCTCAGATGAAACAAAAATACTAAAATCTACCACGTGAAATCTCCAAAACTGCTGTACTTTCGAGTTCATGTCGAACCCAAAATTTGGATTTTGTGTTTTTATTTTTGGCTTGTCTTTTCTATCTTGATGAAATATTTCCCACCCCTCCGATTAACCGCCTTAACCGTTATCAGCTCGAAAATTTACAACACGCCTCTGGTGTGGTCAGAAGTGTGCCCTGTTGCACCTGTAACCACACCCACCAGTGATGTCACAAGGTCATGACACACCCAGGAGTACACGTCTACATCACCATAGCGAGGTGAAAACGTTTCTCCACTGGGGGTCAGAGAGAAAACAAGATTTTTTTTTCGGCTGCTGCTGGAGAAATGCATTCGTGTCTGCGATTTGAATACTAACCGTGCGTTGTCCCCACATCTTTCTTTCTTTCAGAGCATGCTTCTGGAGCTGTCCTCCATCATGAAGAAATAAATTGACCAGGTTTTGGGACCAAGCGAGAGGAAAACGGGAGTTCTAAAGGGGCCGACGGATCCGGATCGCTAAGGGAGCCTCATCCCGTCTCCCAACTGTGTGTTTTCACAGCACGTGCATACAGTTGGGATGAGAGCACGTTTGTGAATACAGTTTATATGTATTGTGCCTGAACAAGAGCTTCAGTTCAAACATGTTAACTAGCACATTCCGCGGAGAAAAAAAAAAGACGCTTAATAATTTCCATGTGTATTATGTCCTAATACAAAATGATATCTCCAGCGCCTGATTACTTTTGTATTGGTAGTTTGCAAGCCACTTGCTGAATGAAATCAAGATTACTATATTTGGCTCAAAGCATATGTGACTGCTCATTTAATGAGACCAAAGGCCTGCTGCAAAGATATTTGACTTGAGGATTGTAATTAAAGATCGTGGAATTGGCAACCACAAAAAAAAAAGATGAGGGAACTTCCTTATGGTTTATCATACAGGATGAGCTGGAGGAAAAGGGGCTCTTCAAATTCAGCATTTTGAGAGTAGCCTGATATTGTTCATGAATATATCTCACTAATGTAATCTTTTTATTGGGGAATGTTTCTGTTGTCCTGTTTTTTTTTTTTTTCATTAAACATGTTTCCCCTCTTCAGCAGGACCGAACTGTTTTGTCTGAGTGGTGTGTGGTTTAGTCTATAAATGACTTAATGAAGCATACAGTGGGCTCTTTACCAAGCTATTGCTGCGGCAGGATGTGGTGATGTCAGCCAATTGGTCGGCCTCCGTCCAAAACTTTGTCCAAAAGATGTTGTTCTCTTTTGCATAATGGGTAAAATGAAAGCAGACCGAGCACATGAGGGAAAATTAACTTTCCGGTACACAAAACACTGGCTTGCCTCCATTTTTTCATGGAGAGTGGAAGAACTGGTTGGTCTGACCTTTCATACCCTGTCAGCTGCTGTCTGCGGCCAATCAGGGAGGAGCTCAGTGTCCCTTTAACCAGGTGCTGTCAATCTCCCCTCATTTGCAGCCAATTGGTAGTCAAATGCACGTAAATAGTAAACTAAAGCATCCTCTCAAGTCAGTTAGTACTGTAGTAGAGAAATTAGTAAACATTCCCTTCTTTGGAGCTGACTAACATTACAAAAAATGACCCACAAAGACATTTTAAAGAGAATTAAAGTCTCCCTACAGAAAACCTGTGTGAGCAGAAAGACAAGTGAACAAGCATTTCTCAAACATCACAAGTTCACCGCTCATATAAAAAGAAGGCGGAGCAAAAACAGCCACAAAACACGGAAGGTGATATGCATGTTTCTTTATTTCATAAAGAGAAATGGTGTCTAGACAAAGGAGTCATTTATATAACACTAGCAATTAAAATGAATGAAAATGGGGTTTGCACAATACCGTATTTACAATGGTTATTAAGTCATTTTAATTAATTAGGGTCATGTAGCATTTAAAAATTATAAAGGTAAGAACTCTTAGTAGAGAATAAGCAAATAACAGCTATTTCAAATTGACAATATTAACACAAAACAGTCATCTAGAAAAATGAAAGAAAAAAAAAACCCGACAACTTGAACTACGAGCTTTTACATTAAAAATTGATGCACCAAAATCTACTAATACAATAATCCATATAATCTGTGTAAAAAGCATGTAGAAAAAACACCTGATGCAGTTTGCTGATACAGTCATTGACCAGTTATGAGAGGTATGAAGGATTTCACAGGTAGATAAGTGTGAGAAAGTCCGCACTGGTGACTCAGGGATGGGGCCCCGGGCCCCTGCATACACTCACTTCACTTGAATGTGAACTATGGCCTCTGCAAGTTCTAAGGCAAATATCGGAGGTGCACTTGTATCCATGTAATGCTGACCCATCCCAAGAGCTTGTCTGTCTCTCTACACAAAAAACTGAGAACCAGTCCAATTAAACCGAGCGATTTTTACATGGCAAAAAAAAATGTATCAAACATGACATGACACCTATTTGTAAACAGTTTCCTTTTTTTTTTTTTTTTTTTAATAGTTTAATGATCTCAGGCTGCGCATTCGACCAGGATACCAGATTTTTTTCTTTTCTTTTTTCAATACAGTTGAGCAATCTGTGAGAATCATGTTTTTGTTCATATTCTTTTATAGAACAACCTTTGGAGTTGAAAAGCCAGTGTTTGTTTCAGAGAAGCAGCAGCAACAAAAAAAGAAAATAGTTTAACAAAACAAGACAAATACACCACAAATAAAAAGAAAAGAAGGTACGAGCATTCAATTACAGCAGCTGCAATCTGCTGAAATGGCCATAACCCCCCCAAAAAAGGAACCTTGAGGATCAAATTTGAGGTGTTCATGCTTATTATGACTGGTACATCATTTTAAAGCTGCACTAATCAATATCTGTATATGAATGGATGTGTAATGTGGAAAGGGTTGCCCATAGCTACGAACCAGCAGAAGTTTTTAGCCTCTTTTAGCTCCATTTTTCTTCCAACCGACATGGACATTTTTCTCAGGAGTTGGTGGAGACCAAAACAGAGCTGAAAGAAGAACGAATACTGGACTTACATTCATCAGGTGGACACCAACACAACATCAAATGAATGACAATGTTGCTCTGTGTCTGCTCCATGTGAAAGTAGGCAACCCTTTGCTAAGCTTTTAGCCGTTAAAGCTTAATAAGGTGATAATATGTCAATGTGGTGTTTACAGCTTGTTCTGCTGCCCCCAAGTGGCCAAACAAAGCAAGTCCAAAATATATCTGCACAAGAGTGACACCCAAAATGATAAAAAAAAAAAATCAGATTTTCTCGCTTAACTCATAGTTGTATCTAGCCATGCATATGGGTTTGGGTTTTATTCACCAAAGTTTTGAGTTTGCCTGACGAAATCAAAATACTGTTCACAGCAGTGTGATTATCCAGAGTAACAGGCTGCACCAAATAAAAAACATACTCCCTGCATGACCAGATGCCACAAGACGTAAGTGAGAATTTTATTTGAACTTATTCATTTTTTTAACCTTGAACCGACCACCTTTAACAACAGCGGACGTGTCGTTAAGGGACGCCTGTTACTGCACTTTGACCAAACAGTCGGTGTTGGAGCAAGCAAGCGAGCAAGACTGCGGGGAGCTTAGAGGTCTAGACGAAAAGCTTTTCTGACTGCAGAGAGCGCTTCGAGAGCCTCTGTTTATCCAATCATCATAGCTCTACAGGGATCGAAGGGGTTTGTTAAGGTGAATTATCAACATTCCACAGGTATCAAAGAAAATTCTGCTGTATGCAAAAACAAGAACGTGGTCTTGGTGGTGTTGTTAGGACATCTGAGGAGACACCCAGAGGCAATAGTTTTTGCTGCAACACACATTCATTTTCTCCAGACAGAAAGAGGGCTTCCTCAATTTCAAGATCAAGCAAATGAAAAAGTATATGCGCATAGAAAATGAGTTGCATAACGTTTGCAGAAAAGAAGCTTCTGTGATGGTTCCACAAAAAAAACTACTACTGCTCCGCGCTATGTACTGTGTGTGTGTGTGTGTGTGTTGTATGAATACCTGCGCATGTGTGTGTGTGTGTGTCTGTGCATATATGGGTCACTGTACCAGTCGTTTAAGAATTTAAAGACAGGTTTATAAAATACACTTACTCTGTTCGGCTGCATAACAGAAACAGTCTCACACGAGACATCAAATTTTTAAACTTTTAAGATTTACATCAGTTAAAGTCAGGGGGAAAACATTTCCAAACATTTCATCCACACTTTAAAGCCCCAATCCCAGATTTAGTTGGCCGACTAAAATAGATTTTTGTTTTAGGAATTAGCTTAAGAATAATCTTTAAGAGGAATACACACCGGGGGCATTTGTTTTTCTTCTTCGTGCGGTTAATTTGCACGTCAATATATTTTCTGGCGGCGTAAGTTTTTTCCCAATCTTTCTTAGCTTTCGCACCGCAAATGAAGGCTTCAACCAATCAGGTTGCGCGGAACGGATATACTCTAAACGTCCATTCCGGTGTACAACAACATGGTGGCTCCGTAGTCCGAATCAAGACGGCAACCTTTGTCACTCCTTTCAATCTTGACAAACGCAGAGGCAGACCAGATCCACTTCTTCTGTTCTTACCTTTCACAATAAAAGCCCTAGACATATAATCAGATTAGCATTTTGCTAAAAGAAAACTTAATAAAACAGCTTACAGGAGCTTCGGCTAATCATCAATTTAGTTAAGACGCTCCATTCGAACCTTTTATTGAAATGGTAGGAAAAGTTTTGATGCGTCACTTTCGCAGGCGAGTATCTTCCATGCCGTATATTCGTCACGCCCCCGGTGTGTATAGTAAAGTAAAGCATAGCGAGGATACTAAACTTCGGGATCACGTCTCTCTATTTCCAGAAAGAGAGCAGAGAAAGAAAGAGATGACGCCGATGTACAGAAGCTAGGGGAACAGCGGCTAGCCAACAGGTTAGCCACATTAGCTTCAGTTCTCAATTGAGCGAACGGGGCGGTCGCCATTTTGGATTGGGGCTTTAAAAAAAAAAGAGTGATGAATAAAGCTTCACATTCCAACAAAATAAAATATCATTTTCAAAAGCTCCGGAGGGAACTTACGAACATAAGCTAGACAAACTAACTAGGCCTACGGCTGTAGGCGGCATGCATGCACGTCTCAAAGGAGGACGCTCAAACGAATGCACAGTTTAGGGCAAAAACGTGTTACTATCTTAATATGATTGTTACTCAATCACTCGGACGACACGTACACTGCTTTCACGTCAAAATGAAATCCGAGTTAGCTTATTCAATTCCTTATACTGAAACATTAGCTTCTTTTGACGTTTAGGGTTTCATACGTGGCTTCTTCATAGAGATACTTTTTGAATTGTGTGATTATTTAATCACATCAACGAGATGTTTTCATCTTGAAGTGCCAATCTAAGTGCTCCAGTCTGAGACTTTTTAAAGGGGTCCGACACAAAGACGAAGTTGAAGTGCTAAATGGCTCTGAGCGCTTGGGGCTGGAAACAAAGTGCCTGATTTAAGTCAATATTTTGTGTTCATTTTTTTCCATCCGGGATAAAATTCTACCCATCACTTCTATGTTGGCTGTGCTTTTTTGCATTTTATATTTGTAACACCGCAGCATGTCTGTCGAGAGTGTAAACACGAATAGCGTCTTTCAAATACTTGAAATGACAAGAAATGAGATTTCCTCCGAACGACACAAGGCAGAACTCTGTTTTAGTTTTTTTCACATTTAAAGAGGAGTTTTGAAGGTCTAACTTTTAAACATGCATGGGGGGGCTCCAGAATTTCACACGCGTGTTGACGCGTGTGTCTGTGTGTGCTGCACGTGTGTGTCTGCATGTGTATCAAGCCGATTTCCTGAGTATAAGAACACTCACCTTGAAAGGTTGGGTGTTCGTTAGGCTGGACAGGAAACAGCAAAAAAGCAAAGATTTTCCCTCAGCAAACAAAAAAAAAAAAGAAAGAATAGAAAAAGGTGCTTGATATAACCCCGTGTGACAAAAAAGAAAACAAAAAAGAAACATCTAAGCCTCTACCTGTACAAAACCACTGTTACAGTCATCATGCTCCATACTATGTACATTTCTGCCAAACAAGCACTTGAAAGTCACCGGAACAACATCCAAATACAATGGTATTGCTGATGAGTGGGAAATAAAAAATAGCCATTTAACCGCCTGCAAAAAAACAACAAAAAAAACGTTTTCCTTTCAATTCAGTGCTGAGGAAGGCAAAGGAGGAATGTTTTCAGGTTACAGCCTGTACAAAGTTCTCCCGCACGGAAATACAAACGGCAGACGCGCGGAGACATTTTCTTTTTTTTGTTTCTTTTTTTGCATATGAACATTTTACCGTCTGGCTGCGTCCCGACTTCCACCGTGTGTGCAGAAGCTGTGTTCTCATTTTTCATGAATTAGGTTGAACATTCAGAGGATTTCTTTCATTTTTTTTTTTTTTGTTGTTGTTGTTTTTCCTGAGTTTGAATTGCTGTGACGAAAAGGGCCACTGAGATATAGCGATAGTAGAACCGAGAGAGAAGAAAGAGACAGAGAGAGGTAGAGAAGATCGATAGAGAGAGAGAGAGTGGGTGAAAAAAAAAAAGCTGAAAGAGAAAAGGCAGGAACAGAGATACTGTCGGTACACCAGAGAAAGACAAAGAGAGCTGCTGTTTAGGTCCGATGAGGTTTAACTTTGAGTTGTGACTCGAGGAGAACAGAATCTCCTCCGCAGAGGTTGCTGTCGGGGCGAGTATAGCACCATTGTACGCGTTTTGGTGAGAAGTTCCCACTCTGTCATGGTAAGAGAATACCTGGAGAACAGTATTGCTGCTGTTAAGACAACTTTAGTGTCGACCGTTCAAAAAAAAAAAAAAAAAAAGAAAAAAAAAAAAAAAGACATAAATACAAACAAAGCTTGTTTTTCAGTGAACACTGGCAGAGGCTGACCTTCTCAGCGACCCCCGAGAGAGAGGGGGGTTTGTCAGAAGAGTAAAATTAAATAAAAAATACAACACAGAGAACCGCCCGCTACTTAGTCCGTCCTTGGCTGCTCGTCAGTCGTACATTTGTCAGTCATTTCCTGGCAAAAATCCACCGTCACCGCCTGGTTGGACTTTTCCACGGACAGCCCCGACTTTGTGTACAAGCCGGCGTCCTGGCCGTCCATGTCCCCGTCCTCCGCCCCGTTCCTGACGGCCGAGTCGGGCTCGCTCTCCGAGGGGCCGCCGGGTGACCCGTGGAGGCTGGGTTCCGGCGTGGCCGAGGCCGAGCGGCCGGTGAGGTCGATGCTGGTGGTGTCGGTGTTGTTGTTGGCGGTGGCGGGCTTGGGCTCGTGGGCGTCGTTGGCGGGCCGCAGCACCGGGCAGTAGTGGTGCAGGGACTGGACCTGCTCGGGGCTCAGCTGGACGTCCCGGCACACCTCCTGCGACAGGCAGGAGAAGTTCTCCCACAGCTCGCCCATGCACGCCTTCAGCTGGTTCCTCTCCGTCAGCAGCTTCTCCTTCTCGCACACCTGCACACACACACACACACACACACACACACAGAAGATGACTTACTAGGCAGTCCAGGTGAAGCGGACGTTAGAGCGCCTTTAGCTTCTGTCGGGGTTTCAAATGATTTACAAAAGAAAAAATCATCCAATAAAATGAGACTTTGGGCGACTAACTCGCCACAACGGACACATCATAGTAGCTAACAGTGAAGAGAGAAACAGGAAGTGGTGTGTTTGGACATAAATCGGGAAAAACCTAGTTTTTATTTTTCAAAACAATGAGGTCTGATTCATTGAACGCAATGCCCACTCGGGCCAACAGGTGATGAACATGCGTGTGTGTGTGTGTGTGGAGACAACAGTCCTCTTTAGCTCCGTATCACGCTAAACTCTAAGCCCGCCCACTTTTTCTCTCTTAAATCACACCTAGTACTAGCCATTAACTTAAGTTTTTAGGTCTTCTCTACCTTTCTCTTGATCTCAATTCTCTCCCAAAAACAATTAACTTTAATTAACTTTGTGACATAACTTTCACTATATCCTGTCCATGAGACGGATAATCTGTGAACTAATCGGGTCCCTCTACTTCCTTTTAGTGCTCCTAATGGCCTTTGCAAGATTCCATCGCGCCCAAAGACGAACAACCAATCACAGCCGAGGAGGAGAACGCAAAAACAGTTCTGCTTCAGGGGGTAAAGGGCGTTGTTCTTGGGGCCAAAAATGCAAATGAAAGCAATATTATGATTGTTTTGTCACTGGTCTGTGAGGCTGCTGTAAATAAACGGGACTGGAGGACAGATGGGATGTTGTTGCAGTTCCTACTTAATGCCAGCAGAGGTAGACAAAGCCCATGTTCTTAGGGGCATCCATGTTTGCGCAGAACAAAGACTGTGTTTTATCCCCCATCACTTACATTGGGATTATTTAAAGGGAAACATCGTTATTTTTCAACCATATTTTCCCATATTTTTGTTGTCTAAGTGACTCATGGCAGATAACATTTTTTGAAATTGGTCAAAGTATTGAGGGAGAACACCGCAGACGGCAGCCGCTTAACGGACTGCAACGTAACCGCTCTGGGCAATTCCTCGCCGTCAATGTGCGTCCGCTAAAACTGCTTGTTTTGTGCCACTGACATGCTCAGGTTGTTATTAAGTGTCTAAAGGACATAGCAAAAAAGGTTTTATTTCTCTATAGGGTCCTTTCCATGATGTTGTCAGACACTTATAGTAGCAATCGGAGCATGTCCGTGGCAAAAACAAGCACTTTTATTGGGCGTACATTGAGGGTGAGGAATTGCACCGAACATATACATCGCAGTTTCAGCACTCTCCCGCATTATTGGACATTTTTCCAAAAATGTGCACTTTGATGGGCGTGCAACCTGGTGATAGAATGGAGGGGCTCTAATCAACGTCAGCCCATCTGAGAACAAGTATTTCACTGCTTTGTTTCCTTTGCTTTGCTGAAGGTGGCAGTTGAAGGTAAATGCTGTTTCCCGTCATTGTTTGGAGAATGAGAGGAGAGGCCCAGCGTACAGGTGACAGGTGACAGGTGAGCGACTCGGACAGAAGCGGTCGACTCACCAGCTTCCTGATCTCGCACTCCAGGTTCATGATGCAGTCGAGCTTCCTCTTGCGGCAGCGCTGCGCCGCGATGCGGTTCTTGCTCCGCCGCCTCACGTCGTGGATGAACTCGAGCTGCTCCGAGGTCAGTTTGTGCATTTTCACCAACATTTGGAAGTCGTTCCGTGGAAGATTCGTGATTTGATCGACGGGGAAAGGCAGCTTCACCTGTGAATAAAAAGAGGGAGAAAATAAATTGTAATTTATTTTGTTATTGTGCAATAATTAAGGTGGACGGAAGTTTGTACAAAATACTGAGTTCATCTTTCTTTTTGTATGGAGGCTGGAGTGTCCCACTGAAATAATGATAGTCTTGCTTCATAAACGCAATTATTAATTGATGGATTAAATTAGGCCTGCACCATATATCGCTTCAGCATCGACATTGTGATGTGCGCATGTGCAATGGACACCTAACAGGAAGCACGATGTCGAGTAAGGCATCAATGCTGCAACTTATTCGCTGCTTGCTGCCCATTATTGTGCAACTCTAAATTAAATTAAGGACGCATTATTGAGCTCAATAACAAAAGGAAAAATTGCAAAAAAAAAATTTTCCACCATGTAAATGTTAAAGCAGGAAACACTTGAATTGTGAGATAGAGCCGGACACACGATTACATGAAAAACGGAAATATTTCCGAAAAGTTTTCGGTCATTCTGGCTGATTAGCTCTCTGCTCAGGTTGAAATAAGAACTATAGGGTGACGAGGGGTGTAAGTTGCTGCTCTGAAACGGGTGCAACAAAGCCAACGGGAGAGTGGAGGCGAGTGTCAGTCAGACGTCTGTCTGTCCACAAAGGTCCAATCAGCTGAATAGAAGTGGAATCTGTGTGGGTTTACATTTGATCTGTTCTTTTATTGTTACTAATAAAACTCACAGTTTGAAGAGCAACTTTGCGACTGTTCCAGGCTTAATGCACAGACAGTGCACGAAGGACTGTGATATTTTCTGAGACCCAGTATTTTTAAATTTGCCTAAAATACAGAACATTTCGTATTCCTCCAGGGTTATGTAACTGGAAGTGTGGAGAGGATTTTACGAACTGCAGCTTTTGGCACCGGGGTTTTTCTCTTTTTCAAAGAATGCTGCCTGTTGTTATGTTCACACTACAGATTTGGATCCAAGTCATTTTATAGTGTAAAAAAGTGACTGTGCATATGATTAACAAAGTCAAAAGAGTGGATTTAGTCTCAAGATGCTCTTTAATTAATCTGTTTAGACTTTTTTATTCAATTTATCAATTGATTTTTATTTCATACTTTTGGAGCCGCAGTCACTTTTACAGGATTCGCAACTCAAAACAAACAAACAACAAATATGTAACTAAAGAGGAGACACCCAAGGTGCAAAGTTAAAAAACAAACAAAAAAAACAAATAGATCTCACTATGATATAATGTAATTTATTAAGTATATTTTTGATAAATCCAGGTTCAAAACTCTTGTTTCTTTTTTGCAAAATTTTTAGGTATACAATGTTTTGTGTGAACATATTTCAACTAATATATATCATCATGAAACTTCCTCCAGTTTATTACTTAAATTGATAATAATTTTTTGTATTACAAGTTTTCTGAAATGTTTAATTATGCAAATGAGGCATTTTCTAACGCTGACTTTAGGTGAATTTAGGAGAAATCCACAGATACAAATAGACGAAGTAGAAAAATAAACACCTAAATGTGTATTTGTGGTGTTTTCTTCCCTTCCCACTAGTCTGAAAGATGATATGGAAGCAAATCTTAATTGACCAGTGCATGAAAGGTGATGTATTTTGCCCTGGCGGCGTCTCGCCTCGATAAACCTCTCCTGTGTGATTCAGCGGGGTAGATTAATGAAGGGTTACGGCTAAAGTCACCAGGTGCGTAGAGGAGAACGTCCAAGGTGAGTCGATGCATCACTGTGCCCGATTACAGCCCCTACGCCCGACCACAAGGTGGCAAGAGAGCGCCGCTTCGCACGCCTCCCTGAGCAGGACTCGGCGAGCCTCGGCTCCCTCCGCCTTCCATTTCACATGTAGCGCATTCCCAAACAGAGGGGAAAGGTGATCCAAGAAAAGAGTCACCTCTCCATCTGTCCCTAAGCAGCTGGAAGGGTGCCAGTGTGACAGATGGAGAGGGGGGGAGTGACTCGTCAACCTGATTCAAATCGGTGTCAGGTGATTTCTGGGGGCATGAATATCTACACCGGCAACCAGCGGCATCCTTCTGCGGAACAAAAGAATTAGCGGGAATGAACGCAGCAGAGATTTGGAGACCCAAAAGAAAAAGAAAAACAAAGGAAAAGCTGCGTGGTTCCCTTTCACTGATATGACACCACATCAAGTGTTTATTACACCGTTTTGGAGAGCGACAATGAGCCGGGCCTCCCTCCCTCAGGTGATGGCAAACCTTGTGATAAGCACATCACAGGCTGACCCACCACCAGCGGTATCTGCGTGCACCAGGGACCCTGCAGCTTTAGGCGGCGAGCGAAAGCGGTGGAGGCACAACAAAGGGCCAGAGGAAGACAGCCGGCGAGAGCTTGGCAGAGATGAGAGGAGACGTGGCTCCCTTTTCCCCTTCCCCCCTCCACCCCTTCCCCGTGGCTGCCTCTGAGGAGCGCAGGAAGTCAAACAAAGGAGAAAGAGGAGCACGGCTCCACGCTCCCGCTTGTACCTGGCTGCTCAAGGCCAGGGAGGGAGGGGGGGCAGATGCTCCCCCGGAGACCCTCAAACCGCTCAGATAACCGCAGGCTGCGGCAGCTCGGTTTCATTTTTATTTTTCCCGCCAAGCGGTACACAGCGGTGGCCGTGGGGGGGGGAGATGAAGCGCCTACTCATGACAAAATGCAAATTACTCCTCACTGAGGAGCAAATCTAGATGTCAATCTTTCCCCCCGAGCGGGGAAAATGGCTCGAGTTTCCTCATTAGAAGTGCAGCCCCGCGAGCCGCCAGGAGCCCCCGTTTCTCATCTCAGCTCGACATCTGCATGCAGACGCATGAATAAATAACGACCCGAGCTTTCAGGGCCACGCTCGGCTCCACGCCGCTCTGCCAGGGCATGACAGCTCCATCCTCAGACAGAGGAGCAGGGGGGGGGGGGGGGG